GTGTTTTTAAATAATAAAATCATTTGACATACCCGATGTTACAACAATTGTTCAAAATTTTATCCACCAACGTGTAAACACATTTGGGTCCGTCTTACTCAGTTTCTACGAACTAACACAAATGTTGTCTTGCTTCACCATATCACAAATGCTTCACCATAAATTAAAACGATATCCATGAACTCCGAGTTGCTATACACGCAAACCATTTTTGACACTAACTACCCATTTTTGACACTAACTACTAAAAGAACAGATAACAGGTAAATACTATTGCAACGACGATTGCAAAATCCGATTTCAGTATTCGGAGTCGCTGAGGCCATGTGGCTCTCCACGCGCATTGCGAATGACGCTAAAGACTACACTTGTCCAGCTATGTAGTCGTTGAATGTACTATAACTTCAATAATTTTCTTCTCGGAAACTATAAGGATTTTACAAAAAAAAATTACGATATTGACTCCATTTCTCATGCCGCATCTATTCCCAAATTTTTTTGTATAAGTTCTTAATCACCCTGTATAATATATTACTGTTTGATTCAGGACTTTTTGACATATTTCAGTTTAAAACTATTTTTGAAAAAAAAATGAGGGAAATTTATGTCTGACGGATCGCAGTGGCTATGGACGAAGCACGCGGAACAAACAAATGACTGACAGAAGTTTATTTATCATCATTCATTTATTTCCTATCCAAACTATTTTAACATAGAAATAATGTTTAGTGAGAACGTAATAAAGAATGTTTGGTGCGGTATATTGAGAAATAAAATCATTGGCCCACTATTTTATGAAGGTGCCTCGACTGGGGAAAGATATCTGCGTTTACTTGAAAATCAAATTTAACAAATTGGAAGACCTGCCACTGATCGACCATACCAATTCAATTTAGCACCCGTATAGAACCAGAGCAGTACCAAATTATTTAAATAATAGGTTTGATTTGTGAATTGGCAATGGAGGAAATATTCAATGGCCTTCAAATAGCCCAGACCTTACACCCTTGAACAAAAACGAAGTTTAAGAATGATTATTATCATAAATAAACGGATAACTTCAAATTTTTCGTTCTCACTAAACATTATTTCTTTGTTAATATAGTTTGTTATAGGAAATAAATTAATGATGACAAATAAACTTCTGTCAAAGTCATTTGTTTGTTTCGCGTGCCTCGTCCATAGCCACCGCGATCCGTCAGACATAAGTTTCCCTCCTGTTTTTTCAAAAATAGTTTTAAACTGAAATTTGTCGAAAAGTCTTGAATCAAACAGTAACATATTATATATTTTTGAAAAGAGAAAAATTTAACGAAGCTAAGTATGCGCAAATATATAGGGTGTTCCATTAAAAAAAACATTTTTTCTTTAATTTAGTGATTTCCATTATTCAATTGTTTTCCCTAATACTGTATTATAAAAATTCATAAAAAAAGCGAAAACTTTTGTATTAAAAACTTTTTTGTAATTTCATTAATCAACACAATAAGTTGTCAGATTATAGTGACTAACCTTGTACATTGTTTGTTTTCCACTTTCCAGCTGGAACGTGTCAGTGCGTGTCACAAGCGAATAAATGAGAAATACGTGTTAGTAGTTTCACATTTTAGTTATCCCAGTAGGTGTTGTTAAAAACAGAATTGTATGCGGGTGTAAAATATAATACTATTAAGGACATACGATCTCCAAGGTTCAGCAAGATTTTTTTTATCAGCAATAGTTGAAAAACAGCCATATTCATGAAATGACAAATAGCTAAAGTTCCCAATATTACTATTCTTTGATTGCCATCATACCACTGTGAGCTAAACCCTAATAAATTAATGTGGGCGACCATAAAAACTGATGTAGCATGAAATAATGCAGAGTTTAAACTTGGAGATGTAAAAGTACTTATGTAAGAGGCGATTAATCAGGCAACTGCAAACATAAGGAATTATAAGTGTATTATGCATTAAATTTAACAATTTTTTGAATCTTCTAAAATGATACGCCCATGGAATCGCATTCCCCGTGCGTCAGTCGTAGGGGTTTACATGTTGGGACTGTGTCACTGCCTACTATTTTGGAGATTTTAAAAATATTTTAGGATAAAATATTCAGTGAATATTCTATTTATTGCATCAAATAATTTGTTTGAATATAGTTTTGGACACGATTACTCTTCACCCAGTGAGAATTTAACTTATAACAGTACCAACCCGCAGCTACATATAAAATATGCCTACATTAATTATACAGGGTGTTTCAAAAGATGTACGTACTTCAGTATGTTATTCTACGTTCAATTTTAAGCAAAAAAATTCCTATGAACTTAGGTTTGAAAACGCTTCGTTTAGGATACACAGGATGTCAAATTTAAAAAAATGAATTACATTTTCTTTAAGTTTTTAACGGATACGGCTTCTCCTAGAGACTTTAATGAAGTGTACATTTATTAATTAGAAAAGATAGGGGAAAATGTTTTTCTATTCCGAAATGACCATGGCACAAAAAAAAAGCGATTTAAAAGGATTTTAATGGTTGCTTGTGGCGCCCTCTGGGAGATACAGCCAATCGTCCCAAGAAACCGCCACATACAAAATTTCATGAATTTATCTCATAGTCGAAAGTTATTAAAGAAAATGTAATTATTTTTTTTATTTGACATCCTGTATATCCTAAACGAAGCGTTTCCAGACTTAAGTTCATAGGAAATTTTTTGCTTAAAATTGCACGTAGAATAACATACTGAAGTATGTACACCTCCTCCTGAAACACCCCGTATATTTTAAATTGACTCTCTAAAAGTCTGATTAGTTTATCACCCACCCTCGTATACCTACAATGTCACAGGGAACGATTTCTAGACGGTGTCATTTTCCGAATCGGAATCAGAACGGCTAAATGCATTCAACTGTCTCCCATTTTACCTGAAAGATCCAAGTGGATTACAGGCAATTAAATCTAGCAATTGCATATGCAAAATTTTCAGGGCATTACGACAGGAAGTGGCCATATCCAGCAGAAGGTCACGGAGACACTTACACCACCGGCTACGAGAGTAATCCCCACTACGATATTCTTCATCCGAGGCAGGATGCGGTGTTGGACAATAATTGACAAATAGAATTGTAGTTTTATTTATATTGACAAATAGCGTAGTGATTTTTTCAAAATTAAATTTTGTGTGACTGTAAACTAAATGTTAGAATAAAAACAATTAAAACATTAATAAGAGTTTTAGTAGTGGATCAAATTTGATGAGACAAATGCATATTTCTTCAGTATTACTGTGGTTTTCGTAGTGCTCTTATCACCGTGGTTTATTGTTTACATATGTCTTACATGTATTCAAAATGGCCTTTGTGTATAGCAATACAGAATTGATGGACATTGTTATAATTTACGGCGAAGCAAGACAAAACACAGTAACAACTTCTCACTGGTACGCAACAAATGTGCCAAATTACATACCACGCGGTGGTTCCATGGCAATCTTGACTATGTGTGAGATCAATAAATAAACCAAAATATTGTGCAAATTATATAAACTAATATATAACATGTAATTATTATTGTAATCAGAAAAAAGAGAGGAATATAAAAATGACAAATATACAGGGTGTTCCATTAAAACACAACCAAAATTTAGTTAATGCCTTCGAAATGCAACAGTCAATTGTTTTTTATATATTTGTTTAAATATAGGGGTGGAGGGGGGTGGGTTAGATTCACCCAGATATTTAAATCAAAATAAACCACAACTGACGTAACTCTGCTGACTTCCAATTACGTAAAATTAAGCTTACGACCTTAATATATTCCATTAAAAATGTAACAAATAAATATTTATGAACTAGCCTACTTTGAAGTTTAACCCTTGAATACCGAAGTTTTAATTCCAATATTGATAAACAGATGCCGCTCGGATTATAATAATTATTATTGGCGTAGCAGTAAAAGCGTTTCGCTAAATTATATTAAACAAAATTGGGGAGAGTCCGTAAAGTAATAATTTGGTTTGACTCGAAGGGAATTTTGTCGGTGTTTACCAGCTACTATTACATTATAATCCAGTTACTTTTAATAAACAAACTTTGCTTTGTTTTAGTTTGAAACAATGGGAGACAATTGGTTTAGAATGGATTAAAGGAGTTGTTGGGATAAACTTTTTTTAAATTTAAGTAGCTTAAATTGAATTTGAAAAGGTTCAACCTCAAATAAAACGATTATAAATAAGGGTAAATTACAATAACACTTTTCATGTCAATATTTTTGTGGCGGGCGAAAATGTCTGAACAGTTTTTTGTAATTTCTTTATTTGTTTCAATTGCTGAGACGGTGTCAAAATATAATATTATTTCAGTGAAACAAAAATATATCATAAGATATTATATTCTATATCAAATTACTGAAAATTTCATCTACCTACAAATCAAATCAATACTTCACAATGAAATCATATTCCTTCAGGATTTTGTTCATAAATGGTTAGATCCGGTTTCAAACAGTGCGTTGATTAAATTTTTCAAGTAATCTCCTCTTTTCTCTTGCAATATTCCGAATGAGAAAATGATGTGAAAAGTTGGGCGAGTAGAGCCCAGAACTGCCTCTTTTCCACAAATAATAATTTTTAGAGGATTTGAAGGAATCCGTTTGGAATACATTTCAAATTGGGAAGAGCACGGTTGTAAAAAAAAATAGAAGAAAGTCCTTCCTACTTAACGGAATTTTATGTAAATTATTTTTTCTCATAAAAAAATTGTTTTGTGTCTTAACTCACACAGTTTGTTAAGGACTGTTTGTGGAGCAGCAGTTGCGGGCTACTCATTTTCATTAAAAAAAATGTCTCGAATAGTAGTAAATATTTACTACAAGCTGCGTATGGAATTACTTAGCAGGGAAGTTTTTATATGTTTATCTGCTATAAGAACAGACGCAGTTGATATTCCACAAATCAATTTTCAAAGTTGTTTGTTCTCTTGTTAATCAAGAAGTGTAAAAGTAAACAAAAGAAGGCGTAAATTCATTGTCGCTACCTTACTATTTATTTTAATGATTAAAAAAAAAATAGTTGTACATTAAAGTACATTAACGAGTGTCCCAACTTAAATTAATGATTTTTTTAAAATATGAGGACAATGACGTAAACAGTTATTGTTTGAACTTATTTATTTGTAACATAGTTTTTGTTTCTTTTATCTTTATTTTTTGAGTATTTTGCCACATATGAAAAAATTTAAAAATTATTGAAATAAATCCTTACGTCAAATGGATAAGTCATAAGACTAAAATAGTTTTTCCTAACCAATTAAATTTCACACTGAAAAAAGCAGACAAATACAAAATATAGTACAAAAAAACACATCACTTTGTATCGCGCACATTGTAAAGTTCTTGACGGTTCAAAAATCTGTTTTCGTCTTCGGCTTTTGGTGTTCGGTTAAAATTTTGGAAAAAGAAAACAATACAGCTAAAATAAAATTAAACGAAACCGCGATTATTTTGTTGAATGGTGAAATATGTGTATCAAATTATTGTATGAACTTGTATCCTTGCTGGCTGCAAATTCTAAAAGATGAAGTTCAGTAATAAGTAATAAAATAAACATCATATGTATGATATTTCTAGCTATGGAAACAGACAAAAGCAAACAAACTTAAACTGTCAACTGTGGGTATCATCGATCATTATTTGCCAAAAAAATATATATTACCCTGTATAATATTAAAAAAATAGGGCATCATATGAGCCATTATATTATCTACATTTTTTAAAAAGATTAAGTTCTAGTAATGGCTTATGCATATTCAAATGCTGAGATGGCCAATACGGTTTACATTTATGGCCTTGCAGATAGAAATGGTACTGAGGCTAAGCGAATTTATATGGAAAAATTTCCAAACCATCCAAGTCCAAATCCAAGAATATTCAGAAATGTTTTTCAACGCCTTTCCCAGTGTCAGGCTCATTTCAGAAAGGTCCAATTCCTGGAAGATTTTTGAGAGTTAAAACACCTGAGTTGGAAGAAGCTATTCTACACGAAATTGAAGAAGATCCAAATACTAGTATTAGAAAGATTGCTGCAAATCTTAATGTGAATCAAAAATTAATTTGGTCCGTTCTGAAGCATCAACAGCTATGCCCGTATTATATACAAAGGGTTCAAGCCTTACTTCCGCAAGACTGTCCTGCTCGCCTACAATTTTGTCACTGGATTCTGCAGAAAATTGAACAAAACGTTGACTTACCGCTGGCATATTGTTTAACGACGAAGCTAACTTTTCCAGAGATGCTAATGAACTTCCACAATAAACACGTTTGGTCTGATGAAAACCCTCATGCCATAATGAATGGAATCTCGATTTCAACATCAGTTTTATTTGGATGTATGGATGGAAATTCTCTTGTTGGGCCTTACTTTTTACCAAGAACTTTAACAGGTGCTTTCTACAGACACTTTCTTGAAATAAACGTTTGACGATGTTCCCCATGCGCTAAGAGAAAGAATGTAGTTTATGCACGACGGCGCTCCTCCACATTTTAGTTTGACTGCTTGTGAATATTTAAATGAAAGATTCGATATCTCATAACGTGATTGGACGAGGCACTCAAGAACCAGGTCAGCCTTGGCCACCAAGATCACCCGATATGAACCCCATTGATATTTTTGTTTGGAGACATCTCAAGACAATAGTTTACAAGGTTCATGTTGAATCTGACGAGCACTTACGTCAACAAATTATAGTTGGTTGTGATGTGATAATAGCTACTAATGGAATTTTTACACGTGTTCGACTTGCAATTTGCAAGAAGATCTGAAGCATGTATTTTGGCTGAAGGTGGCTACTTTCAACATTGGTTATAATAGATCATAGTAAAGTAATTTCGTTGTTACTGAATTATTTTATTACAATTTTATGTAATGTAATGAGTTTCGTAAAAATGCACTTAATCAAATAAATTAATTTTGTTGTTAATCGGCTTGGAATACAAAAAAATGTAAAGAAACAAAAAGTGACAATAATACAATGGCGCATATGAGAACCTATTTTATTTGTAATATTATACATGGTGATATCTCTTTTTTGGCGAATAATGATCGATGATACCCACACCTCCGCCACTGGTAAGTTTCTAAAGCTGGTAATTTTTTGTTTCATACCTACTGCCATACTAAATATGCACATCGAATTTGGTTAAATTATCTCAAGAGGTTTAGAAATTAAAAATTAAAAACTTATTTTTTTTTTAATTTTTGACAAGCTGCAGCTGGACAATGGCGGTCCTAAGACCCCACATTCATATAACAAGAAAACCTTATTTTTTATCACAGAATACGCCCCTGGATTTTTGACCTCTACCTAAGAAGCACCCTATATTGTGTATGTGAAAAGTAAAAGATAACCTTAAATAATATTAAACAAAAATAAAAATAGAATAAAATGAACCCTAAATATCCAGCAGCAATAAAAAAATGAAACAAACGCCTTTTTCAGGTGTCCTCATTCTGTTTGCCTTGCAGTTTTTCGGATCTCATACTATTTGTTTGTAATAAAACAAAATTGCGCAAACAGTTTTAACTTGTATAACAAACTTTTATAGTTGCTTAAGATATAATAAACACAGCGTAGTACTACAAATAAAAAACTTTACATTGATGAAAACATTTCTGCAAAATTTAGGTGCGTATGTTGCTGCAAAATAATAGTTTTGATGTGGTGTCTTCATTTTTCTTTGAAACCGTTATATTAGACAAACAATTAGAATTTTAGTCAAATATTTACTGAAAAATCCCCTTTTTTTCATTTACTTCACTAGCTTTCCATTGAGGAATTACTTATAAAATCTCAATAGCAAGTCAAGTTTATAGAACTTATAATATTTGCATCTCCTGTAAGGAATAAATAAAAATGTGGACATAGCTCTTACTTGATAACAATAAAACATTTGCTTTATGTTTGTGTTGTACCAGGAAAAACAATGATTCCTTTGTTTTGATATGTTACACAGGCTGTTTTCCAATAAAGTACCACAAAGAGCACTAGAAACCCAAATAATTGAACAACATTTATAAAGGGTGTAAGAAGTTTGACTGCCATTTCTTCAGCATGAAATACAGTAATTATAAATGAACAAATTTCCTAGGGAAAAAATGTAAACAGCTATTATTGTGAAACATATAGTAAATTTGAAGATAATTGTTTTCCAGTTTTTAAATAAATAAAATAAAATGTATCTATTTTATAGTACGAAGTGTTGTGCTTAAATTTTAGCTCGAATTTTGGCAATTATGAATCTCTTAAAACAGGAACTTAACTTTTAATCAAATTATGTATTTGAAAAATATGTAATTAAAGTACCCAAAGATTCCCGTCGTCCAAATAATCATATGTATTAAAAATAATTTAAGTATTTACCAAAAAACAAAATTCAATAATTTTTAAACAAACTACAACATACTCAAAATGTCCACCACCATTTTCGATGCACACACGACGCCTTCGAATCCAATTTTCGCGCACTCGCTGGAAAACACCTCAAAGAAAGGTAATAGTGGCACGCAAAAAACACTCCGACACGGTCGAATCCAGATACCAACTAAATTGCGTATTGGTGGTTGCTGAACCTCGTGTTGTTACATTGCTCGATATGAATTTTATCAAATTTTAAATTTATTATTTTTAAGAATTAACCATAATGAAGTTAAAAAAGAGATAAACATTGTATTTTATGGTACTCTATGCACGCAGTTATGTCAGTATTCCTTAATTAATCTAACTTTTGTACATCAAGTTGGAGATTTTGATAATTTTTTTCTCGGAAATGGTTGAGTTTAGGACCCATGTCGTATAAGGTTTTTTGTTTATTTTAATGTGTTCTATCGTCTGTTAATATTAAGGCTGTCAAACTTTTAACACCGTGTATAAAATCTGTATCTGTGACTGGTTCTACGATCTATGAATCACTGATTTGGTTTTTATTAATCGAATTTTATATTTTTCCACAAGTAACTTAGTTCACCGGGATGATAATTTTTTAGACATACTACAGAGAGTTTCTTCAAACAAATGATATAACTCACTATTGACAGTTTTTATGTAGAGCAGTTTCACATGTATTTCCTAAAACTTTGTTCAAATTAATGTTCGACTACGTGTAATAACGAGGGAAAGTCCCTAGAGATAGTATAACATTATATATGTACAAAAAAAAATGTTTAGTTTAATATTTTTATTAATAAAACCCGGAAAATCAGTTACTTCCCAGGAGCAAAGCCCTGTGACGTTTCTATTTAACATCCTGCATCAGTTGTACGTATTTGCATTATCTATCTGTTAAAAAAAAATCTCGAGAACGCAAATAGAGGTTGAGTGACAGAGAGCTGTGTTTAATTATTGAATTAAAATCTCTGTGACGTCACGAATGACAATATACACTGTCAGATAATGAGATAAAGCTGAGGAAGGTCTGAAGACCCAGAGCAGTACACCTTTTCTTCCTTTCCTTGTCGTTCGGTGTTTGTGAACAGTGCTAGGGTTTTAAGTGTGTTTGAATAGATGTGAAGATCCGTTAGATTTGTAGTGTAAGTAGCCTACCTGATTTAAAACCTAACTGATAACAAATTGTTGTTTATGTAAATGGTGCCCATGTGCAGGAGAACTGCGACTCTTGAATTTGACTTTTATTAAGAAGTCAATAACCTTTGATGGAAGGTGCAGTGTATTAGTATCATATAAGTAGCATCTACTTACTTCATATTCTCCTACGAATGTTTAAATTAATTTAGATGATATAATACGTAAAATAAATAGTACATATACTGGAGCTAGATGTGTAATATTTCGTACATAACCCGGAACAAATTTATATGCCCCGAGTGGGACATTCCTAAACGCTACGTTTGGGTAATTATTTATACTTGTTAAGGGTTGTATAATTCAGGATTACAGTTATTTGTGCAAACACATACATACTTATCATGAAAATTCGTTGCAAAATATTACTGACGTAAGGCGAATTTGTTTAGGCGGGAAACGGGTTCTATGAATGAGTTAATTTGTTTGGGGAATTTAGTAAGGGATGTCTAAGCGAAAACTTCGCTAAATAACGTTGACATTTAAGAAAATGTATGTTAGCACAAGTTTCGTTTCTACCTCGATAAAATAACTCCTGAATATTTCCGAAAATGGTCGTTTGTCATCAACTAAATGGACCTATTCAGGATTTCGTCCCACTACGAGATTTAGTTCTCAGAAATTTGTACAGGGTGTACCTATGAGTAGTGAGAGTTTGATTAACGATGTTTAATTTTAAATAGACATACATGCGATGCATTTTCTTAACCTCATAGATCTCTTAAATGAAAAAAAGTGAATTCAGTTAAGTCCTTGCTGACTATTTATGTTGACGTGACATTCTTTTTAAAGCTGTTCAATGCTTTTGAGAAAACAATTAAGTTTCACTCGTTTCTTCTGAAAAAAATAAAGCTGTAGAGCTTGAAATCGTTCAGTTCAACTTTTCCCAACCACAAAACATGCGACATCTAGGCTAATTGTAAAACGAAAATAATCTTGTAACAGACTGAGTATAATCCTGCTAGCTTTTCACATATTTCAAAATCGATATATCTGTACCGGTAACTGACGTGACACTGAAGGAGCAATAGGTTTCTCCTTTTTGTGACAAAGTGTATTGCGCTGAACTTTGTATTTTTATTTGAAACCGAAACTCAAAGAGAAAAATGCTGGTTCTATTTAAAGCGTTGTCAGTTTCGTACTTACTTAAACAATATGCTGGTTGGATGTTACAGCTGTCATCTTCATAGCAGGAAAGTGTACTTGAATCAGAAACGGTTTATTTGCGGCGATAGTTAGTATTGATCGTCTCGAAAGTAATATTTCGTTTAAATATTAAAGGGAATTTAATTTTTGAAGTTAACTATCACAAAGCGTATTAATTAATAATCATAGAAATTCAGAGAAATGTGTACAGAATTATAAAGATATAACGTAAATAATGATAAAAATGAAAATATTAAAATCTGATTTATCATCATTTACTTTGAGAAATTACGCTGTCAGCCAAACTACTTAAAAAACTGCACATTAAGGCAATTTCTTCGAATCCAGAATACGAACAAACTCGAAAAATTATACGTTTGCCTAACATCAATNAAAAGGTAGATTATTTTTTTAAATAAAATATTTACTAATTACATTGGCCCGTTGCTTTTTTCACTATATACAGGGTGTCCCACGAAGACGGGACATTAGACATATTTCAGAGACTACTTCGATTTTAATTTTGAAAATTTGGCAATAATGTTTTCGGACATGCCATTCACAACTAAAATAATGGCGTCCACCTAACTCTTCCGGTTATACCGGAAATTGACGTCAGCTTCGTTATTTAAAATGGAACACCCTGTATATTATTGCAATTTTGGGATCTACGTTAATTTTTAGGTGAATTTTCATAAAGGACCAGATAGCTTGTTTATTCAGCTTCAATTTCTTTTTTTTTTTAATTTCGATACAACCATTTTTCATCGAAACATCGGACTTTTAATGGAAAAGGAACCTTTTGTCTTCAATCATCGATATCTCGGAGACAAATGGTCGTACAGAAAATTGAAGGGCAGTTTCGAAAAAACTTTTCGAAATTTTTTTTTTGTCATCTTTTACACGAATTTTAAAAAACAGGAAAAAAAGCGTAAATTATGTTTTTTTAGGAAATTGACGGCTAAATTAGAAATATTCAGGAAATGACTAATGTTAAGCATGACTTTTACAGTTCGATATACCCAGAAAAATCCTGTGAAGTTCCATCTCGATCTAGTGAACCGTTTCTTTGTTTCAAACAGTCAAACTTTTCCAAAAAATGAAAGGGTTGCGCTTTTTGAGCTTATACACTTCATAATCGTGATTAAAACGGAAAAAAAAATTTTTTGAGGTTTTCTCACATTTTTACCGCAAATAACGTTTAAATTGAAAAAAAAAATTGACCCTTTTCGTTGAAATTTTTTTCAACGAAAAGGGTAGCTTTGAAAAAAAGCTGTTTTTTAAGTGATTACAGACTGCACAAAAATTAATTAGAAATTTGTCTCAAAAAACGGTATGAATCGCGGTCGAGATCTGGTTTGGGTCATCAACTTTAATTTTAATTTAATTAAAAGTTGGTGAAGAACATAGGACGAAAAAGTCGAATCATGCTGGAAACAATTGGATTTTGTTTTTTCAATGTCTTGAATTTTTTCGAAAATTTTTCGAAATTTTTTTTGTTTTCACCTAAACGTTATTTGTGGTAAAAATGTGAGAAAACCTCAAATACATTTTTTTTCCATTTTAGTCATGGTTATGAAGTGTTTAAGCTCAAAAAACGTGACCCTTTAATTTTTTTCCAAAGTTTGCTGTTTGAAACAAAGAAACGGTTCGCTAGATCGAGATGAAAGTTCACAGGGTTCTTCTGGGTATATCGAACTGTAAAACTGAAGCTGAATAAACAAGCTATCTGATCCACGCAATGGCTTAACCGGAAAAAAAATTCCAAGTCCGTGGACTCAGAAGAAGAAAAAAAAATTGCAAAATTTTTTTATCGCGCTATTTCCTAGAATTGCATAATAACCGTAGCTCCTAAAAAATTTCGACCGAAAGATCTAAAAACTAGAATCGTAGAGCTTCAAAATGCTGTTTTTTAAATCCCGATACGACCATTTTTCATCTAAATACAGTCTGTCAAAAATCACGCAAAAATTTCGGAAATTCTTTTGACCCTTTAATTGTTTGCATTAGTGTAGTTAAATGTGATTTTAAATAGTCATGGTTATTTTTAAAAAATACCTGCTACGATTTTAAAAATAATAAAAGTGTGTTATGCCTTTTCTTTAAAATCAATTAAAATCAATCAGTCAATTCTGTATTATCGATTTTCATTACTCTACTTACAACAACTAAAAATATATGGATGAAATAAAAAAAGTTTTCAGTTTCTTCAGGATATTTCAGAAGTGGTACAATTTTCTTGTAATTTAATCGATCCTGTATGTCTTCTAGTTCAGGAGAAACTAATGGTGTACACTTTAAAGTGACCACACTGTATATAAAAGCTCTGTAGATAAGTTTATGCTTATACTGCATTGTGGTAGGATTATATCATTTATGTTTTCTAATTTTCTATTACTCTTGTACCATTGTTTAATTTTTTACTTGGTGTTAACCTGTGATTGGGATTTTTAATAGTTATTCCAATAAGTGTTAACAAAAATCATGTTCACGTTGACTAAAGAGAGAAATCTGAGAAAATTTATCTCAGAAAAACGTAAAAGATCCTCAATTATCTGCCGTAATTAATACAGTTTGCATTTAAAAACTAATTTCCTCAAAGCTCCGCAGCCATTGTCGAGACCAAGACATTGAGTAGTTATTTTTAGGAAGTACGTTTTCTAATTCACCAGCAAAATTTTTCTTAAGAATTCCCGCACAAAAGGCGCTATCTGTTGCAGAAGTCCGCGTACCGGGAAAATTAGTTTTTACCCTGGCAGTTAAGCTTGAATAGATTTAATATTGGCAATGGCTTCATAAAGCCAGGATATGTTTAAAGTAAACTTTAGAGTAGGACGTGATGACGTGAATATCATGGCTACCTTAATTAACCGAAACGTGCTTTCGGCGGAGTTTTAGATTTAAATTTGATCGAAAGTCTGGTCTTGACACACAAACCCACTTTAAAGCGGTTTTATTCCCTTTGGGCCTTCCAAGGTGTGGACGGGGTTTGAGTGGCGATTTCCACAAGCAGATAAAAATTGTAATTAAGTACCTCTCGAGGTGTCCGAATGACTTTGTAAATATTTACAGTTTGGTCATGAGATTTGAATTAGGTATAAGGATAACGAAGATCCAGGGAAATCAGATATATCATACATTTTTTTACATAATTATTAGTCCAATTAAATGAGCCTTTAAATCGCAATTTGGTCAACTTGCCTGAATTTTTAATGTAAGTTAGTTTGAGGTATATAGTAACAATAAGTGACAGTAATTTTTTTTCAACCCCCGGCTAGGGATGAAAAAAGATAAAATAAAGGGGTTTTTCCAGATAACTCAAAACGGGTAAGAGCCAGAAAAAAAAGTTTTTCATAAAAGTTGTAGAGCATAAAATTCTACATAAAAATGATAAATAAACTTTTTCTTGTACTATTAAGATTAACAAAGTTAGGGTGGCTAGAAGTTAAGGGATGAATTCAGAAATTTAAAAAAATGATTTCGTATTCATCACATGCAAGCAATGTTATTTTAGCGTTTTTCTCGAAAACGGTTAGATTTATCGAAACAAATAAAGTATACCTTTTTTATGTCAAAAGGTTAGGAGAACAAAAATATTCTGTCAAAAGTCGCATAAATTGTAGCATAAAAAAGTTGGAACCAAATTAAAATAAAGGCTGGTATGTGGCGCCCTCTACAAAAACGGTGGGCAAATTTATAATCCTCATCCCGAAAAACCCCCATATACGAAATTTCGTCAAAATATTATGAGTGTGGTATTGCAAAAAGACTGCAAATAAAATTTAACTTTAACACCTTGTAACACCATTAATAATCAGTTTTGGAAAAAATGTTATAGAAAGAGGTAGGATTTATTTTCAGTCTAGAATTATCCCCTGAATTTTTTTTTCATCATTTTCGGACACCCTGTATATCTGAAACTAATTTATATCAAAAGTGCAGGCAAGTTGACCAAAATTGAGATTTAAAGGCCCATTTAATTGGACTAATATAAGAGTTATAGAAAAGAAATTGAACAAAAGAAAACAGTATAAAAATTTAATAATATTCTGAAAGAAATATAAATTTACAAAACTAAGGAACACTATGATATACAGGGTGTTTCCGGATTAATTGGTCAAATAAAATTTAAATTTAGGTGGTTAAAAGAAGAAGAAAAAAGTCCCATAAAGAATGTCTGCAATGAATTCGTTTGTAGATCGAAAAAAATTGGCTAATATTTTATTTAATTAAAAGTAAAAATCGGCTGAGTTCAGTGATAAATATATCAACTAGTGACGGATATATCACCACTGGGTGTTCTGAAAATTTAATTCACTCCTTGTAACTTCTACTGCTATTAAAAAGAAGCTGGCAAAAAATGTAAATTTCTTCCACTTAATTGTTATTTCAAACATGATTTATTCAATTTAAAACCGTATTTTTACTTTTAATGAGTCAAATTATTAGCCTAAATTTCAAGAGCACATCAAATAACAGACATTTAACAAAAATCTGTTTTTTCTCAAGTCTCACTATCGTGTATCTCGAAAATAACTTTTAAACAATTTTTTATGCACTTTTTAAATGCCTTTTTGTTGAAAACACTTGGCTTTAGAGATATTACCAAGGCATACCTTTTTTAAACAGAAATGTTGGGGGAAAAGATTTTTCCAGCCCAATGCGAAATACACCGTGGCACAAAAAAGTTTTGGGAATCAAATAATTATGACATATAACAGAACAGAACCTAATCTCAAATACGTTGTCACAAATTCTTACAGAGAGAGATTATAACTATTGTCGTCTAGCAGTTAGTTAAAAACTATTAGCATTCTCAAACATTTATCCGTAGGTACCAAATTTCGGTGTTTTTTTGGAAAAGATAAGACTAAAAGTTTATTTTAAAAATAAATTTCGGCACCTGTATCTCAGAAATGAAAGACTATATACTAACGGAATAATTCTTTTACTTTTTGATGCTCTAACCTTTTTCCAAAACACCCTGTATACAACTTTCCTTTTGACAGTGACCAGTTGTGACACATTTTAAATGTTTTTTCTCCTCAGGAAATTCTCGATATTCATCCGACTATATCATCGAGAATAGCGTTATTTACTAAATGTTTTAATGTAAATTCAATATTCAGTTTCACAGTTCATGCATATTGATGAAAGAGAATCTGCCGGCAATTAAAATATATGCAGATCTAAATTAAGGTTTAGTGCCGTTACATATAGTGCACCTGCTATTGAAAATAAATACCTATAATTAGCCATTGTGGACAATTAGATCAGATACAATTTGCAAGTCACACAAACGAAGAAAAATAACACGACACTTTTTCGAAATTACTTCAACGACGCTTAATTATAGACATTAATTAATTAAATGCAAACTGTTTGATTGTGTTTATCGAACGAAAAATACATTCATTCCTTTATTAATTTGTAATTGAAATACTCAGAAATGTAATTGGCTGTGAAATTAATAAATGGAGATGTAATTTTTCTTTGGTACAAGTTAATTAGACGAAAAACTACAGTTCGATTTAGCAGTTTAAGAAAGTGTAAAAATAAAAAATATTTTTCAATAAAAATTTAGATTAGATACCTATGAAAAAGATATCTAAACTTATAATAGTCAAGATTCTTAACTGAATTTACCCTGAACCTTAACACAGACCTAATCGGGTCAAACGGACACCGGATTCGGATTCAGCCACCCCAGAAACACATAGCCACCATGGTCTTGTCTTTCAAACCTCCCACTTTTTTTTTGTGAGGCCGTATTAATTATATTTATAAGGAGACCCCTTAAGACATAAATCTTTCAATGCAGGAGTTTTTTTTGCGTATTGGTTTTCGTTAAAATTTCTTTGAAAAGTTACATTATTTAATGATTTCGATATGTTAGATGTGTGTTTTTAGATACATAATATTTAATTTTGTTGTATATAATTATTAATTACTAGCTAGTCAGGGCGTATAATCAGCAGAGTAGTTGTTTCTCACGATAGAAGAATCTTGTTTATGACTTTAAATGTTTTTTGAATACCTAAATTTTTTGTACCAAACATTTTTTGAATTTATTTGAATTAATTTACTATATTATTATTTAAAATAACTTAAAAAAATATTGTTACAATTGAATGAATGAATAAGGAAGCTAATTAGCCACACATCTGTTTAACATTTTGGTGAGGAAAGTAAGCGAAATATTTAAATTACCTACGCGAGAATTTCTTGACGTAGAAGGAAGACGTTATTTAGTTAGGCAGGAAAACGTGTTCAGTTACGTAATTAAATTCGCGTCACTTAAGCGAATTTAATGGAAATAGCTGTTATTGATTGTACAATGAGGCAAAAATATTAATTACGTTTGTTATTTAGAAGACACTGATTAAGACTGACGTCCACGTCCTGTAAAATTTGTATTATATATGACTCAATGACTTACACACAGTGTGGTAGTAAACTGTCTTCCGAAGCCTTCAGGGTGGATAATATCACAAAAACTAAATTTACTTTTTTATATAACTTGTTTTCTGCAAATGAATAATATGGGAGTTATACCCCTTTAAAGAAGGATGTCAAGTTAGTCCTACTATCAGCAGGTCCCTCTCTGCCAGTTTGGTCGCATTGAAGTCCTAGTCATTGAGTAACAGTGACCATTTAAGACACACTTAAGATGACACATTTAAGATATTACAGTACTTCGATCATTCATCGGTTGCTTCACCTACAGCGTACTAATGAAAGTTCTACACCGGTATATGACTGGTGGTTTTACTGACGAATGATCTTAACTTAGCTGTTTGCTAGATATTGGGGGGGGGGGTTGGTCGGGGCCTTAGTCCTCACAGTAGTGGTAACTATTTCTTTTCTTTTAACTATTCTGGAGATGACGTATTTCCAAAAACAGATGTGTTTAATGCCATAGTCGACCTGTAAAAAAATAAGCTATTAAAGGCAATGTAGGTACCTAGAATTACAACTAAATTTTTGTAATGAAAGCATTACAAGGTAATATTTTCGTAGTATAATTAAGTAATGAAATCATAAAAGTACGATGATATTTTCCCATTTTTAGATGAGGTAGTTCTAACAGAGGCTTTTTTATGTCACCTTTCCATTTTTTCATTACATCAATGAATTTATTATTTTACTTTTCTAAATATCTTCTGAATTTTACATTAGAACCAACATGGCGAAAAAATACGACCTTTTCTTATGTATGTACGATTATAGGGTGATGCAATTAAACCTTAAATCACTTAAAAACTAGCAAGTGAAATAATTTGAAATTGGGCACATATAGTTATGTGAACATTATCCAAAATCTGAGGGCTTTTCCTAAAATTTTCATGCTCCAGTGGCGGAGGTACAGGGTATCGGTGGCATATTTTTATAAATAAAATAGTACGCCACTGCTTTACGGTAACAACCACGTTATATTCGGATTCGTCTTTCAATTTTCTACAAATTACTACCCTTTTATGTTTTTCGAAAAAATCCTGATTTTCGAGTAAAACTTAAAAAATGAACTGAAACACACTTCGATATTAGAATAAAATGCTTTTTAAAATTACATAGAAGGCTGCGATAGCAGCGTCGACATTCTGAGCAGTTAGAGGAAAGAATAAATAATGCTTTTCATAAGGTTCAAGCAACAATAAATTTCAAATAAATTACATGTTATAGTTACTAAAAAGATGTCGTGTCTGTTTTCGTGGAAATGGAGGCATTTTTGAGGTTTTACTCAAATAAAATCATTAAAATTATATTAATTTCTTTATTGGAATAAATAACCGAATGATTAGTCAGGTCATGTCATTTAAGTAAAAGTGTTTTCAGTTCGTTTTATAAGTTTTACTCGAAACTCAGGCTTTTATCGAAAGACATAAAAGAGTAGTGATTTGTAGAAGACGAATCCGAAAATGACATTGTATAACATACCTATAATGAATTGCCCTGTCTAAATTGACAGAATTAAAATACAAAAGCGGACTGTAGAAATATGTGTCTATAATATAAAATTAAGCGTACAAATTTTTTAACTTGTAACTAATTACAAGCCAACCGAGTTAACGATTGCGTCAGCGGTTCCAAAAATGTTTCTTCGTATTATTGTGATAACTCAGCAATTGTTAAAAAAAATCTTTTGCCAATCGACTCTTCGCAACTCAATTTATTTACTCTGAAAATATCGTGTCCAGGTTCGTAAACACCCAGTATATTTCGTCTTTACGCGAAGAACACCGCTTGAGCGAGTTTTCAGTTATTAAATATTTGTTTTTTTTAGGCGAACTGATTTCCCCGAAACTGCCACCGAAGACGTTAAAATCACGAGGCTTCGCGCGTTCAAAATGTGACTTTCCATCGAACCACCCAAGATGCGTCGCCCAAAATCACCATCGACAGCCATCGGCGTTGGCAGAGTGGCGGAAACAAGTGAACCATTGTGCGAGAACGCCGCCGACGAGAGTGACAATAAAGAAAGGAAATATGACGAGCCATCCCTCAGCCAGCGCAAGGGCTGCTAGGACGGCGTCGTGGTGAGCGTCTGGACGCTATATAACCGAGGGTGCCCTTAGACGGCCGCACATAACGCGTCGCGACGTTGTGTCCAATTCCTCCGCCGCAAAACTCACCACCTGTTAGGATGAGTCTCTTCTCGCTCATCGCCACTGTACTGGCAAGTCTGACGATTACAGTGGTAGTGATCAGTGGCCACCCAGGACCGTCCAGTTCCGTTTCCGCTTTTCCCCGCGACGGGGTAAGACCATTTACTCGTACCATTACAATTAGAAACTATTTAACGTGTTTTTTTTCCACCATGTCACGTTTTTCAAACTGTCTCGAGCTTTTCAGGTTTCAAATATACAATAATAATAATAAATAGTAATTAATAAAATGATTTTATCTGCAGAATACATCAATCTCTATTTAAAAACGCAATGTATATTGACAAAACACAAAAAGGTAAAGTTCAGATCATAACCTGCTCTCCATTAGACCTTCACAAAACATTTAAAAATCAAATAAGCATTTATTAGAAATTTTTATAATAGTCCAGGAAAATAAGGAAAAAATGAGCGAACTTTTTCACTCTGAGATTTTTTTCATAGAAAAGTGTAGGTTTTGTAGGTTTTGAGGTCAGCAGCTAATTGCTGATATCTGAATGGAGAAGCATTTTTTTGAAAAAAAGTGTCGCATAAAAGTTGTCCAAAATTAAATTTCCTGCAAAATTGCTCCTATGAAAAAATCGATTTTCGCTATTTCCCCGTATATTTTCTAAATGAAGTACAAATTATGTGAAAATGTATGTTTTAGAGCCAAAATAATGGTCAATTCATTTTTAAATAAGAAAAGTGAATTAGAGAAATGAAAATTGTGGACAATTTTCCGAGGTATGAATATTTATGAGCACCAACGTATCATTTTATATANTTTTTTAATATTCAAAGTAAAAAAAAATAAAAACAGATTTTTCTGGAATACTTATATTAAAAAGTGCGTAATTAATTCGTAATGTACACTCTCGAAAACCTATAAAATGATACGTTGACGCTCATAAATATTTAAACCTCGGAAAACTAAATAAGATTTTCCAAGAATTTTCCGCAATAGTCTTTTCTCTAATTCAGTTTTGTAATTTAACAAATAAATTGACCATTATTTGGCTCCAAAACATTAATATTCACATAATCTGTAATTCATAAAAAATATACGGGAAAACTATTGGGAAAATCGAAAATTTTCGTAGAAGTAATTTTGTAGAAAATTTAATATTGAACAACTTTTATTTGTAACGTTTTTCGAAAAAATGCATCTTCATTAAAATATTGGTAGTTTTGGGTCAATAAACGCAAAAAATCATATACAGGGTGTTCGTAAATAAGTGATAAATATTTTGGAGGTGGTTGCCGAAGTTATCTTGTGAAAAAAAGTTCATATAAATGTATGTTGAAAGAGTATAAATTTTAATTTTTTATTTATTTTTACAAATTATTTTAGTTTTAAAGATATTGACTCAAAATTTGAAAAACTCCTTGGAGGGATAAATGTGCATTTTTTGGGGTGGTTGGTATATTTCTACTTGCACCAGTGGGGTTCATCCGAGAATGCCAAAACCTTTGTTTAATAAAAAAAAATGGTACGCCACCGGCTTTTTCCCATTTTTCTTTTTTTTTTTTTAGAAATCCGCCATCAATTCTAAATTAAATTGGTCTCTTTTTTTCGTGGGATGCACCGTTTTTGAGGAAAAAATAAAACATATTCTATTGCAAGTTGTGTATTGTTAATTTCTATTGATACATTATCGAGTAGGTGGCTGTCAATATTAACCATCAAATTTCGAGTCAATATCTTTAAAACTATTTGAAATAATTAATAAAAATAAAAAATTTAAATTTAAACATTGTATCTCTGAAACGAAGCAAATTTCGATCTACGTTTATATGGACTTTTTTTCACAAAATAACTTCTGCAGCCACCCCCTAAAATATTTCGCACTTATTTATAAACACCCCTGTATATATGTTATATCCCAAAACGCCGCCTATAATTCGTTTGGACTTAGTTATGGACAAAATTAAGTAGCGCCTCGTAGAAAAAAGATAAAAAAATTAAAAATAACGTTTTAAAACTTCAGTGGAACAGATTAAATGAAAAATAATCACATTTCACCAGCACCCCATTTACACCTTCAAAATTGATCCCCAAAATTATAAATTTGGAAAAAAATTTACATTTTTTGCTCTCTCGTTTGCAAAAATTTTTTTTAAATGATACATAACATTTTTTTATAGTTTTTGAGATGAGGAATAAGGATCCATTGTTTAAATTGAGCTAAAAAAATTTAAAATCCTTAAATTTACGAATATTTCAATTTATTATGTTTTTAACTCTGATTTCCGCTCTTATGCATCGATTTGCTTGAAATTTGGAAAGTAGGTGGGGAATAGCTCAAGAAACAAAATACATCCATGCTGATTTATATTTTTACCCTGGGGGTGGTTTCCCCTTTGTAGGGTTGAAAATAAATTTTCTCAAAATAATCTCGGGAATCGATAGAGCAACTAATTTGAAACAATCATACAATTTTTTTGATAAATCAATACTTTTTGAGTTATTTGCGATTGAAAACTAAAATATTCAATTGAAAAATTGGGAGCTATTCCCCACCTACTTTCCAAATTTCAAGCAAATCGATGCATAAGAGCGGGAATCAGAGCTAAAAACATCATAAACGAAATATTCGTATATTTAAGAGTTCTAAATTTTTTTTGCTCAATTTAAACAATGGATCCTTATTCCTCATCACAAAAACTATAAAAAAATGTTTTGTATCATTTGAGAATTTTTTTTTCAAACGAGAGAGCAAAAAATGTAAATTTTTTCCAAAATTATAATTTTGGGGCTCAATTGTGAGGGTGTAAATGCTGTGCTGGTGAAATGTGATTATTTTTCCCTTAATCTGTTCCACTTAAGCTTTAAAACGATATTTTTTGTTTTTTTATCTTTTTTCTACGAGGCGCTACTTAATTTTGTCCATACCTAAGTCCAAATGAATTATAGTGCGCCGTATGTTGCTGGTGGTTTGCGTATATGACATATGTTTCCTGACCACAAAACTTACACTTTTCTATAAAAAAGTTCTCTTATTCCGTCTTTTTATGTCTAACTTTCCTGGACTATAAATAAAATACGTGGTTGTAATCCATTACAGTTAAGGAATAAATTAAACTAAAAGGTGACATATGATAAGAGCAATTAACTCGTAAGAAGAGATTTGCATAGGTATTTGAATACTTTGTAAATGTACTTGGTCACATATTTTTTTTATGATGATGAATCTTAAAAAATATGCAATAACACAACACCCACAACACGAGTTTTATTATTTTTCTTCATACACAATTTGCGTTTTCTTTGTTGAAATAAGGGATAAGAAATTATATTATATTTAAATTTCTTTTGTTCGAAAGCTTTTTTAATTGACCACAGAATAGACCTCTAAAAAGTACCACAAAAGATTGTTCTTCGTGTAGAATTTTTTTATTACGTTTTTCCTGTCGAAATGCGAGATAAGAAACTATATGATTTATAATAAACAACCCAAAATTTTTTGATTATTCCTTATCCATCATTTAAAGTTTAACAAGAATAAACATAAATTAATTTGTGTCTGCCTACTCTGCCTTTAAATCGATCTTTTCCGCAAAAACTGTTTTTTAATTGGCCGAAGAATAGGCCATTAAAACGTATACAATAGACTTTAGAGTATCGTGACAGTCACGGACAATGATGTAGGAAAGTTAATTTTTCATTGCCCCAATGGCAGCTTTACGAGGCGTTCAATTTTTTATGTCTCAATAATACTGCGTAAAATTCTTACTTTTTACGTCAAATTTTCTAAGAACATTGTAACAATAAAAGTCTCCGCTCTGAGATATATCACACATAAAATTCAATTCACCCAAATACCGAAAAAAGGTACTTGAGTTTGGATGTTTGGAAAACAGGGCCCTTTAAGGACACTCTTTCCGATTGGAATGTACACTAAGAGACATGTTAGTTTGCGTTAAATTATTTCCGTTTGTCCTAAACTAATCCTAGGTTTGATTACAGTCTGGCATATGTAGTTTTAATGATAACTTGTAAAAGTTTAAAATCTTGAACAGCGCAGCTTTTATCTATACGTCATATATTTAGATATTATAAAAGGTATTTTTAATGTTACTTTACAGTAATTTATTACAAGACTTTTCTGTTTATTTTAAGAATATCTTCTCTTACTAGTTAACTAATTGTGTTTACTATCAAATTTATTGCCAACTATTAAATTTTTATGTAAAAATTTATTTTAATTGTATGTACTTACAATTAGAGAAGCGTTATTTAGAAATACATTGGTCAGAACTTATTAATTTTCCATCATTTATTAATTTTCTAATTTTACGGCTTCATCCAACGGCACTGATATCAAACACAATAAGTCTATGCAATTGCGTAATATAGTAAATACTGATGTAAATATCTATTTAGGAATAGAAATAGATCTAGAATCTAGGAAGAGATCTAGAATCTAGAATATATCTAGAATCTATATATACAGGGTAGCCCATCGAAAACGTACCGCAAGGCATTACAGGGTAGTAAAGAACTTTTCGGCAAAATCCAAAAACAGGTCAAATTTGTTTCTGAGGGGGACAACTTTTGGCTCAAAAAGCATACCAAAATCTTCAACCCCCTAAGTGGGGGTGCTATCCCCTAAATTTTTTCAAATGGGAATGGGGGTCAAGTGGGGGGTCATTAGAAAGGGCTTTTAATTCTCTATACATCGATTCTTACTTTTTGAAAATCGATTCATTATTTTAGAAAATATGCAGCTTTGAAAATACGAACAATATTTTTGACGAGAAATGCGAAAATCGATTTAATTTTACTTCAAAACTTACGGTATTAGTCAAGTAAATGCTGAAAATGTTGTCCGCCAACTTGCATACAATGATACAGGTTGTCTTCAAACCGTTGTCGAACATTCTGGAGCACTTGCGGTGTTACTTCGCGACATACATTAATGATTCGTCCTCGCAGATCTTCCAAGGTATCAGGTGGAGTGCTGTAAACTTTGCTTTTAATGTGCCCCCAGAGAAAGAAATCTAAAGGATTTAAGTCGGGTGACCGAGGGGGCCACTCAATTGCACCTCTTCGTCCTATCCAGCGTCCTGGAAACGTCTCATTTAGGTAATTGCGCACATTGAGCGAGTA